ACTTGTTCACTATGGTTCATACAAACTACAATTAAATTACATTTTGTGAGGAACTTGGACTAAATGTTATATTTCTGTAGTTATAGTGTAGCTAATTTGCAGCAATCTATTAGAGTTTTTAGTAAATTCAAATTGTAGTTAATCTGTAGCTGTCTTGTAGACAAGTGTGGTTACACCGTACCTTATTGTATTTTGGCAGCACATTGATGTTATTATGTATTATCTGTGAAAAAGAGGCAAATATGGCCCGAACAATAATACTAGGTTCACAATCACGGATTGCTTGTTCAAGACAAAGATTGAAAGAATCTATGACAAGTTCATAAGTTCTCCACCGGAACAAAGGTATTCGGTTGTTAAACCCGAAGATGATGTTGGAGAATATATTCTTGGGTACAGAATTCTTGTTAATGTTGCCTGGGATCTTGTTGACTATGTGCTCATGCCTGTGAACCTTGTAGAGAACTTCCATTGGTTGTTGCTAGTTTTTGACATAAAGGACAGACAACTTTATGTTTATGATTCCATGGTGAGAGCAAACCGTCATAAAACAGTTGAGACATTGGTTGACAAGTTTTCAATCATTATCCCTCTGTATTTGTCATGCACTGGTTTCTATGGTAAACGTAAAGACATTAACTTCAAGAGCACAAAGGCATACATCGAAAAACCAGTTACGGACCCTCTCGACATACAATGGATGGTTGCTGAGATTCCACAACAAAAGGAAGGCTCAGTGTAAAAAAATAATCTCCCTTTCTATATGTTTAATTTTTTTATTTTAATCATTTGTTATATAATGAAAAATTCTCATCTTATGCAGCGATTGTGGTGTATTTGTGGCTGCATTTGCGGAGTATGTTAGCCTTGGAGATTTGGCAATCCCAAAGGAAGATCTTTCTGATATTGACCAACACCGTAGACGCTATGGAGCTCTACTGTGGGACTATGCAACAAAGAAGCAAGAAGATGGGTCAATCAGTGAGAGTGAGGTTACTGGCAGGCTAGCAAGGAGGAAGGGTGCTCCGGCAAAAAACGAGAAGACTAGAGTGCAACGAAAGAAGAAATAGACTATTGTGTTCCTAGTTTGGTCTGTGAAATTTGGTAGTTGAATTGGAAAACAATGTTGGAAATATGTCGTTTTGATTTTCTACAACACTTTTTTGTTGATTACATTATACTCTAGTACTCTGATTACATTTTTACAGCTNGATCCAGACGAACCTGCAAACAATAAATTCATAAATGTAGTTTCTATGTAGATAATTTTGAAAGTAACATTGCTTTATCCTTTTCAGTACTATGTGAGCTTTGTAGTTTAATTGTAGGTAATTGTAGTAATATTGTAGATAACATAGTAACACCATAACTCTCTGCAATGTCGAATCAAACATACCTGCACTGGTGCTTTCATTGTTGATTGCCAATTCCATATTGAAATCTCTTACGCTTATACATAAAGGATACGAACCTAAGTTTTTATTCTCCTTTTTGGTTTCCATGTAAGCACGAACCCCCATATCATTCCTAATCTCCATTGGAGGACAATTCTCGTTCACAATGTATTTGATTTCTATAATTTTATCCGATGTATCAATCGATAATTGTTCTGCAATTGTAGAACTGAGAATTCCGTAGTTTGCATTATCATCTACCACAATGGCATCAACTTCAAAATCTCTAAATCTGCCATAGTTATCCCAATTACCATTCGATTTCAGCATTATTGGGATTTTTGACATGATTTCGTGTAGTTGATAGGAAAAAAGACGAAGAAGAGATATAATTTCTACAATTTGAATATTGATATCGACGAAGAGCAATTTTGTACAATTTGAGACGAAGAACAGATATAGTCTCTCTTCAGTAATTGTACCATTTGATTGCGTTTTTTGTGAAATCTCTTTCTGTTGAGGAAGGAGAGAATTACGCAACTGGTGCCTTCATCAGGAATGAAAATCGCCTTCATTTCAAAATTGGAATAAAATCCTTGACAGAATCACATCAGATTTGGTGCCTTCATTTTAGGGCTTTTTAGTGGCAAAATCTACCTATTTTTGGATTGGTATATAATTTGTAGTAAAAATGTGGACTATATGGGTAAATAACAAATTATGAACATTTTTGGTAATAATGTTTGATATATGGTATAGATAGGTAAAAATCCCAAAATAAAAATCTATTTTTAGTATACATGTCAAGTAAAAGTGAACAGATGAAGTAATAATGTGGGAACAAGTTAAAGTCACTTTCCCATGAGATATAAAAAGATTTGTTTAGTTTCTTGTGAAATCCCAAATATCGACATCATTAAATAACTACAAACTCGTGATGTGAGACCATTGTCCTAACTCCTAAATAAGCATATTGTTACATTCTAAACCAGAGATCTGTCGCATTAAACAATAACACGAATCTTCTACATGATAATTACCATAAAATGGCCCGATGAGAGCTGCTGAACAGATATTCCAACAAAACCGTAACAAGTCTAGCTCTTATCGTGATGAATCAAAACTAATGATCGGCAGTCCGGTGTACTAAGCTTCAGCTATGTGCGGGGTCTGGGGAAGAACCGAACCACAAGGGTATTATACGCAGTCTTACTCTGTATTTCTGCAAGAGGCTGTTTCCACGGTTCAAACCCGTGACCTCCTGGTCAAAACTATACTTAATATTGTTTTAGTTAGCTAAATGGCCATTTCTACTTTATTAGTGAACTAACTCTATTTTCGCTCTAGCAAAATGACCATTTCGACTTTAATACTACTTCCATTTTATGTGATAATTTTTCTTTAGACTGACCAAAAAAATAAATACTTTTTATATCTGAGAACAATTAATTTTATATATCTTATTTTACATATGACATGATCTTTTTAGCACAAAAGTGTTATGATATGTTTAAGCATATGACCAATTACATATACACGGTGGCGGATCCAGGATTTATAGGTCGTGGGTGCTTCATTGATTTTAATTTAAATTCTAAATGGCCAAACATGGTCATAGTGGGTGCTCATGATCAATTAGTGAAGTTTTTAGATATTATTTATGAATATATTATATAATTTGGCCAAAGCCAATAGGTGCTTCAGCACCCATATGTCCAAAGGTGTATCCGCCACTGCATATACATAAAGTGAAACTAACGGAGTATAATATTTTCCTAATGAATGCAAATATTAAGAATTTAGACTAACCTACAATTTATACATGTGTTTTAACAGTAGCAGATGATGCCTTAAAAAGAAAGAAAGGATATAACTACCTTTTTCAGTTGTACACTATGCGGCAGCCTTTGAATTTCGAGATAAAAGAGTTTTTTTTTTTTAATTATCATGACCTTTTTGAATTTTGAATTGTTAATTTTTATCACTAGTGCTTTTATCATATTTTTTAAATATGTAAAATTTCTTTTAAAAAATGTAGAGATTCTACGTCTGCATTCATGATCAGAATTAAGAAGTTTAACTTCCAAATCTGAATTGTATCACAGAATTTGGGTGGGTGGTGGGGTGGGGGGGTTGAGTAACCAAATTATATATAAGTGCACATTTTAATGCTTACCATGCCAGCAGTGGCGAACTTAAGGAGCAAGCAAGCAACAGTGGATCCAAGTAACTGTGCAATAACATAGAGAATACCACGGAAGAAAGTGATATTTCCTCCAATAAATGCACCGAAAGTAACGGCGGGGTTAACGTGGCCGCCGGAGATGTTAGCGCTGACGGAGACCGCCACAAAAAGCGCAAAAGCATGGGCTACAGCGGCGGCGATGAGGCCGGCGGGAGTGGTAGCACTGTCGGATGTCAGCTTGTTGAATGCCATGCCAGAACCCTGGCCGGCGAATACGAATATTAGGGTACTTATTAGCTCGGTCAACGCCGCCTTGAGGGCGCCCGGCTGGCGGAGTTCTTCGTGAGTTCCGATGGTGATTTGGTGGATCGGCATGGCCGGAAAATCAAGATTCAGAGAGAGAAAATTAAGAAAGTATTATCTACTCTGTAGTAGTGTAATAAAGGACTGAAAGGAGAATGATGCAAGAAAAGGGAATATTGCATGGATTTATATTGCGAAAATTTGCTTGGGTTGTTGGGAAAAGGTAGCAGGTTGCCGGTAAATATACATTCTTATTTGGATAATCACTAATCCTTTTCTCTCAATCTTATTTAGTTATTTAGAGTATTCATTTTCTGTGTTTGTCAATTAAAAGCTTGGTATCTTTCTACATCTAAAAAGCACCTAGGGGCTAGGTGACTCTACAGAAAGAGTTTGACCTTTTCTGTCATTGAATTTTACGAAAAATTGTTCGTTTATTGTTGTTTTTTTAATAAAAACAAACAAACTAAAATATTTCTGAAATTGGATTTTGTAAAGTCTGAAAAAATGAGATAGAAAAATTTTCCACAAAAATAAAATTACTCCTACAAAAAATCGAGACAAACGTCACCGTATTGTTTACAATTCTATTTTTACTTAAATAAGATGCTCTAATAGAAGTTGACACGTCGTGCATTTCATTTAAAAGAAAACTTTTTTTAGGGGTCATTTTGGTTCCCATGATAATGATTAAAAGATCCCGCGATAGAACTCATGATTTTTTTTAATCCCATGTTCAATTAAAGGTATTAGCTAATTTCAAAATAAATTTATACTAAAATAGTGAGATATCCTCATTTATCCTGCCATTATACTAAATGACCCCTAAATATCGAATAAATTTACACGTAGTAGTCTGTCCTTACTAGGCTTATCGAATATAGTATTAGTAAATAATGCCAGTAAGCGAATTAGATTTAAATTAGAATAGTGCAAGTGGCAGATCCAAAGAACTTACCGGGTTACTATCAAAGCTTACAATGTTAGTCTGATTTTCACATTTCTTTGTCAGTCCCTTTCTTTTACCACATTTAATTAAATACGAAATTTTCATAAAACACTATCTTTTAGTAGTAATTAGCCATTTATAGATACTATTTGCTATATTACGGATTATAGATACATTTTATGTGGTTATAAGATATATTTGATGTATTTAAGTTATTGTATTCATGAATATAATAGCAAAAATAGGCGTGAATCAGGGAAGTCCAGCTAATCAGTTGTTGTATTCGAGTGTATTTGACTGTATTCATGGAGTAAAATATGGTATTACAGCTGGACAGATTATTGTATTCGACTGTATTCACGGCGTGAAATAGGGGATAAACTATTTTTAAAATGAAAAGTGAATCGATTAACATAATAGACTCCTAATATAACTCAACAAACTCAATTATAACACACAAATTTTATATTTTCAGTTATAAAAAAGATTCTCAACCGAAAAATGCCCCAAAAACATAGCAATCTTCAGAGAAATTATATAATACATCTGAATACATAAATTATATTAATTAAAAAAAACTTATGAATACATTCATGGCATATAGCGAGACAGTGAATACAATGAAATACATAGAATACATTGAAATATAGTGAGAAAAAAAGATAGTGAATACAATGAAATACATGGAATACAACGAGACACATTGAATTACAATGAATACAATGAAATACATGAAAATACATTGAAATATATTAACAGAAAATCAAGTTGCTTAGCCCCAAACTCCATCGTCTTTGTTCAAGAACAAACCAACCGGATTATATGTCGTCGGCTGCTGTTCAAGAATCAGCTTAATGTCGCCGGCTACTGTTATTGGTGAGAATCTTGAACATAGCAATCTTCGAGAATCAATTTTTTTTGAATATTCGAAGATTAACAAAACAAAGTTCTGAATGCTGAAAGTGCTCAGATTGCAAACAGTTTTGCTTTTTCCGTGTTGGTTTGTTTATGGAAAATATGTACAACTGGTGTTTAGTTTTATGAAAGACGAAACAATTGTTCTCTGGCAAACAAACTACAATTGTTCTCTGAGAAAGGTTCGTGGGTTTGCTGGGAAATTTTAGTGGGATGGGGGAAGATAATGGGATGTATCAAATTAGAGAGAGAAAGAAAATAGTGTAACTGATTAGCATATTTAGTGGCTTAGAACTAGGAGGTAACCAAAATTAAATATTTTGCTATAAACCTTAAAAGGTATCTATAGAATATAATTTTTTTAAATGATATTTATTTAAAATATATAATGTGTTAACCTTTGCTATAGTAGGTAAAAATTCCTAATTAAAAACTCTCTCCAGAAATATAATTACCAGCCCGACCAATATTGACAGCTAAGAATCACTTCCACTTTTGATGTGAATTATTATTAGTGACATGTGAACGATTAGACACGGAACACACTAAACTGGTCCATTTCTTCTTCTTCTTCTTAAAATTTTTCTTATTTGATGTTTAGTATCTCTATTGGAGTTCGTATTAAATTTAAATTTGTATTGCATAAAATCTATTAAAGGAGAATGCGTTTCTTACCCAAAAAAATTTTCTATCCTCAAAACTGGAACCTGAAATATCCTATAAAAAATCTAGAAATTACTATTCATCACACTATTGTTAGGTGTTTGCCATAATTTTTTTGTCATATTTGATTTTTCTATCTGTTGAAGGAAAGTGAAACATATTTACCTTAATTGGGTTTTCCTTCTTGTAGAAGGAAATTACAAATCTCTCATATTTGGCTAGTCATTTTTCTTGTAGGAAAAAGTTTAGATTTCTATAAATTGAAGATCCATCATTCTCATTCAGCACCATCCACAATGTAGCCATGTGGGGTTTGAGAGTCGTGTTTAAGGGGAGAACTTTACGGGACTTATAAGTCCCATAAAAACTTATAAGTGTGGTGCACAACACACCCATAAACAAGACTCTGCTAGACACGACTTGTAGATTCCCTAGGACAGAACTGCTCTGATATCACTTTTGTCACGACCCAAACCGATGGGCCGCGACGGGCGCCCGGTACCTTACTCAACCGAGTACCAACATAACGTATCTTTTCGTGTCATACTATCATAGGTAAATGAGCCAGAGTGGCTATCGTGAGATAAGTAGAATAAAACATGGAGAAATACTTGACATTGGATGATCCAACATTTAATCCAAACTTATACATATGACGTACGAGCCTATAAGGCCGGCATGATCCTTTATATACTCAAAACATAGGCTGACAAGGCCATACAAGAATCCGTATACATGACATCTGTCTATAAGCCTCTAAGAATAAATAATATCATAAAGGTTGGGACGGAGCCCCGCCATACCAAACAATACACATCTAAATCATATTAACCAAACGTGCAACTCCGGAGCAAATGGAGTGCACCAATATCTTCCGCTGAACTAATCGCCTACTTGGAGGACTCTCGACCTATCTATCGGGGCCTGCAGTCATGAAACGTAGCGTCCCCAGGCAAAAGGGACGTCAGTACAAATAATGTACCGAGTATGTAAGGAATGAAAATCAGCAGACAATAGACATGAGAGAAACATGGAGTAAAAGACTCGACATGTAAATCTGAATAGCTCTGTGAAATCCTTTAATATTTAAATGTCATGCATATACGTGTAAATGTCATGCNATATATATGCGTATATAACGCCATCTGATCATGAGTCAATGTACATATATAAATGCATGAAATACATGTGAAAATATGTTAATAAAATCTCTCGGTACGTCATAAAACCATTATGCCTCTGATTAATATCATGAAATAAATTTTACTAACTTACGTATTTTTGAGACCCATGAACAGATGATAGAATAATATGACACATAGGGAATCAAGAACATTGACATCACTAGTATTTCTATGAATAGAGTCATTTATGGAATTTGTGCATTTTCTCGTTTCGTTCGTGCCGTATAGATCATGCAAAAAAGAAAGAAAGGATAGCCTTAACATACCTGAGCCGATTCTCTTGACAATCCCTTTAATATACGTCAATTGCAGCAAATCACGTAACGACGAGATCGGAGTAGGGAAAAATTCATATGATATTCTTGCGAAAGATTGCACCGTACTTCCTTAAAATTGCAACATCTCACGTTTCTAAGATGCTAAGAGATTTTATTTGCATAAACATACTAAAGATTAAAATGCAAACTTGTGGTCTCAAGCGGTTTTTTTATATAATTGGTTGTGGGGTCCACTTCTTTGATGAATTAGAAACCAAAATCTTCTAAAGTTTCCACCAAGCTACGTGATTATGAGTCATTAATTGGGTTTTGAGTAAGGCCTCACTTGCTGCCACGATGGGAGCTTATTAAGCTTATCCAAAGCTCCTAATCAATTAATTAATTTCCCACTAAAAATTAATAAATAACCACTTACCCACATAATTAAGAATTATCTCAAATTACTTAAAATACTATTCATTTTAACACACTTTATACATCTTACTATCATGGTCATAAATCTTGTATGGTACTGTCCATAAATATCGGGTATTATAACTCAGACCGTATTTTATCTCAAAATGACATACTTCAACGAAACTCATTTCTTCGATTTGCTTACCCTCTCACCTTCATGAATTGGTTTGAAAGAGCATAGTACTTAAAATCTCAAAATAATCTTATTCCCGCACTTACGTAGATTAACTTACGACGAAACTTTAACGTACGAAATTGCAGAATGTAACAGTAAAGCAGAATTGACAAATAAAACCATACTCCAAAACCTGAAGAAGAGATTGACCGACTCAAAAGGAAAGTGGAAAGAAATCTTGCCCGTGGTCTTGTGGGCATACCAAATGATTTCAAAGTCAAGCACATGTGCAACACTGTTCTCTTTAGTCTACAGCGTGGAAACTCTGATTCTGGTAGAAGTAGGAGAACCACGCCTAAGGTTCCAATACGCTACAGAGACGTCAAATGATGAGGCCATGTCCACGAGCTTAGACTTATCGGACGAAAGGTGAGAAGCCGCCCTAGTCCGGTTAGCTGCCAAAAAGCAACGAATTGGGAGATACTATAATTGAAGGGCAAACCTTCGACACTTCCAAGTCGGGGACTTGGTATTAAGGAAAGTTACGTTGCATACCAAGAACCCAAACGATGGGAAACTAGGCCCGAA